TACCCCCAGGCAGCCGGTACTGTTTGATATTCACCACCCTCTGTCAATTATATCTACTTTTGCTGAAGATTTTGGGGGGATTGCAGAGAGTTTGTTTTGAGATAGTCTCACTATATAGTCCAAGCTTAGAATCCTCTAGCCTCGGACTCAGCCTCCTCAGTGCTGGGATTAGAAGTATGTAACAGGGCTGGAGAGATGGCTCAGCAGTTAAGAACACTGACCATTCTTGAAGACCTGGGTTCAAATCCCAGCACCCATGTGGCAGCTAACAACTGTCTGTAACTCCAGTTCCAGGGGATCTGACAGCCTCTTCTGTCCTCTGTAGGCATTGTGCAACATGGTTGCACTTACATACATGCAGGCAATACACACATACGCATAAAATAAAAATATTTTTTAAAAAAAAAAAAGAAGAGCCAGGCATGGTGGCACACACCTTTAATCCCAGCACTCGGGAGGCAGAGGCAGGCAGATCTCTGTGAGTTCAAGGCCAGCCTGGTCTACGTAGTGAGTTCCAGGACAGCTGGGGCTACAGGGAGACCCTGTCTCAAAATCTCAAGACCCCCCCCCCCAAAAAAAAGTAGTATGTACCACCACATCTACCTTGAAGGGGTTTTTGTGTGTTTGGTTGACTGGTTTGGCTTTTTTTTTGGACATGGTCTCGTGGGACACTGGCTAGCCTCAAATTTGTTAAGCAGCTTAGCATGACCTTGAATTCCTGATTTCCTGCTTCCACCTCCTAAGTACTGGAATTACAGGCTTGCACCACCACAGCCAGCTTTGATAGTTATTTTGAAATTGTATTGTGTGGGATCATTAATGTCCTTGTTTGATCCTAAAACTAATAAAGGACTTTAAGTTTTTGCTTCTTCTGATTGTTAATATATAACATGTGTTTAATTTTCTATTCTTCTAGTTCTTTCCTGGGAGTTTCTATTCACTGGTATTGTTATTTTTTTTATTCATAGTTTTTAGTCATTACTCTAGCTTGTTGGTGAGTATTTCACAGGTGGTGAAATTTCACCTGATATTTATAGTCTTCGGCATTCTAAGTCATTTTATGGGAGGAATTTGTATCAGTTCATTTTTGTTTTGCATGTTGTTTTTCTTTTGCTTTACAATAGATCTGTTCTAGGGGTGATTTTTTTTTTTTTAATAGTGTTCATTTTATGAATTAGGTTCCAAAATTCAAGACTATTGTCTTACGTCAGTCAGCTCCATTCTCTTATATGCAACTTCTATGTCCAGGTTCCTGCAAGATAAATGTGATTTTTTTTTTCAACTGTTTCTATCTTCAAAGTTGTATTTTATTTCAAACACAATTTTAGGTGGTAACAAAGGGTATCTTTTGCAAAGAGAAAGTTGTTTTTTATTTTTTGTTTTTTTTTTTGTCTTTTTGAGACAGGGTCTCCTTGTAGCCCCAGCTGTCCTGGAACTATGTAGACCAGGCTGGCCTCGAATTCAGAAAGATCCGCCTGCCTCTGCCTCCCAAGTGCTGGGATTAAAGGCGTGCGCCACCACGCCCAGCCCAAAGAGAAAGTTTTCTGATACTAAATCTAGGTTAATTTTTTCCCCCTTTTAGAATGTGCTTTATAACTGTCGTGGTGGTACACACTTGTAATCCCAGTACTCATCAGGCTGAGGCAGGAGAATTAAAAGTTCAAGCCCACCCAGGGATAGACAGACCTGTTTTTAAAAACTAGTAACAGAACATGCTTTATATACTAATATTTAACAATTGTTTGCCTGTCCTTCCCAAATTTCTTCCTCTTGGAGCAGCTTCAAGTTTTCTACTTCAAATCTTGTAACCATTTTTTTTTTTAATGTGTGTTAATTTTTGTTAAGCATTGGCTGTTTGTTTTGGGTTTTGTTATTTAGTGGTGGTGATTATGAATATCCAAGTATTTCAGCACCATTTATAGAAAAGCTGTTCTTAATTGAATGCTTTTTGCCATTGCCAGTTAGCTATGTTTGGCTGTATATCTAGAATACTCTTTCTATTCTCCCAGTCCATTATCTATTCCTCAGAAATTACCCACAGTCTTGATCTATTTACATATGCCTAGGAAGCCTTGGCAAAGTGATTCTTCCCACTTTATTCTTTTTCAGAATTGTAGCTGTTCTATACCTGTAACTTTGCTAAATACTCTAGAATCATTTATATCTATAAAAATTACTAAGATTTTTTAAGGAATTGAGTTAAACCTACTAGTTTATTTAGAGGATAATTGCTTTATTTTGGGAGTTTTCTCATCCATAAATATACATAGTATGTAGGCTAGAGTCCATGTTTTGTGAGTTATACTGTATAAGCCCTCCCTGTTCAGGTTTTGTTCAATATATACCAAATTTTTAAGTAATTAGAAATTGGGATGTTTTTATTAGTTCTACTAGTATACAAAAGTTTTTGTTTGGAGGCCTCCAACTCATGATCCTATTGCCCTTAGTACAACTATGTGCCACCACACTTAGCTACAGTACTAATTTTTGTATGTTAATCTTGCATCTTACATTCGCCTTAAACTTAACCTAGCTTTTTGGTAGGTTCCTGCGTCTCATCACATTCATGCCATTTATATAGAAGGACATTTCTTTTATAATCTGTATGTTTTTTATTTTCTTGAGTTACACTGCTGGTAAGAAGCTCCAATAGTATTGGAAAGAGAGTTTCAAGCTTTTAAAAAATTGCTTTAGCTGGGTATGATACACACTTTTAATCCCAGCAGAGGAGGCAGAAGCAGGTGGAATCTCTCTGAGTTCTACGCCACCTGGGGCTACAGGTAGCGCCTATCTCAAAATAAATAAATAAATTCTTTGAAGCTTTATTTAAAACCAAAAAACTTTGTGCTACAGAGAGAGATGGATGGCTCAGCAAGTAACCTGCCACCAAACTTGACAACCTAAGTTGAATCTCTAGAACCCATGAATGTACACAAAATAAATAAACATAATTTTTTTTAATTTTTATTTATTTTATGTGTCTGAGTATATTGCCTGCTTGCGTGTGAGTTCACCCATATTGTACAGTGCCCATGGAGATCAGAAGAGGGGGGTCAGATTCCCCTGGAACAAGAACCTGTCTCAAAAAATAAATGTAATAAGGATTATTAATGTAGCATCAAACAGCAAATATATTTTTGTTTCAATTCTTGCTAATTCTGATACATTGATAGTCTTGCCCTATGTTACTCTTTTTTTTAATATATAAAACCCAAGCTACTGTTGATACTCTTTCACATACAGGGCAAAAAAAAAAAATTTACACCAGCTCAGAATTGTATTCTGTCTTTTATATAAGTCATTTACTTTTTTTTTTTTTTTTTAATTCAGGGTTTGGAACAAAGTTTAACTACTCAAGAACAGGCCTTAACTGCTCAGCACGCTGCTGTTATTAACCTTACTGGAGTAGGAAGTTTTATGCAGTCACAGGCAGCTGGTAGGTATCTTCCTAACTTCATAAATTATTTGAGATCTCAGCTCATAAATTTTCTTTTCCTTCTCTTGCAGGCAGTAGCCAGGGAAAAATAAAGTATTTGATCTGTGAACTACCAGATCAATAATTGGCTAAGAATTTTTTCACTTAAAATGAATGGGTATTTTCTCATTAATATGACAGTTGATTTTAAAAAGATATGTTTTCTTTATAGTAGTTGACTGGCAAACTTATCCAACTTACTAAAAGCTATCAAAGCAGTTTTCAGTGTTCACACTGGTAGTAGTTCAGTTTTCCTAAATACTTGAGACTACATTTTCCCATATTGAATTTGTCTCATCATAGTTTGTAGTTGCATAACTTAAATCTTCATGATAGTCAACAAAATTTCTATAAGCCACATTATTTGTAAAACTGAAACTAAATTGAAATCTACTTCCTGCTTCCAGTAGTAAGTAGTAAACCAGAGATAATACTGTGCTGCATTGAATTCTGCCTTCACATTTCAGAATGAGTAAACCACATGGTTGTTTATTAGAGTTAATAAAGCTGTAATTTCAAGATTCGGTCAATGAACATAACATTTTGAGTTGATACTGTGTGCTTGCTATGTCTCTAGATCTCTGTAACTCCCAGTTTTCAAATTGAGACATCCTTTTAGTATAGAATAGTCTGAGTGTATATTTTGAAAGTAATTCCTACATAAAATTCTAATTTAGAAATAGTAAATTTTCAAATGGAAGTTTGTAATTACATACCTATACTGTATACATTAAAATTTTTCTAAAATAGCTATAGTATAGTTTATGAAAAGAATTATAGACAAATCATGAGAATTTGTCTGGTTTTAGACTTGACACTAATTATTAGATCAAGTTTTCAGCTTACTCATCTGTACTTGAGACTCTTGAACTAATAATTAGTATAGTCCCAGTCAGCTGAAAGTCTTAGTTCACCAGTTACTTCATTGGATGCTGTTTTTTAAAATAATGTATTGTTTTATATTATTTAAGAAAGGCTTCTGAAAAACAGTGCCAATATCAAATTTTATTGAGATGCCAAGAGGATACAGTGGGACTAGGGATGCAGCCCAGATGGTAGAATGCCTCCCTAGCATAAATGAAAGGGCTTGGATACCCACCACTATATAAAACCAATATGGTGGCAAACACCTATAATCATAGCATTCTGGAGGTGGTAGCAGGAAAATTGGGAGTTCATGATTATCTTTGGCTACATGAATTTGAGGCCAGACTAGGCTACATGAGACCCTAGCTAAACAAACAAAAACAAAAACATGAGGGATACAGTGCCTTGACGCATGTGTACTCCCTTCCCTCTATATAGCTAGAATGCTGTTATCATTGATACCCTCAACTAACAGACTAAATTTATTCTGAAATATCTATGATTTGATACTTAATCATACTGATAACTTTTTCTATTTTTTCATTTTCTGTGTTATCCTTTTCTAACCCTGATAGCCTTCAGACTTTTTGACTGGCCTGCTTTCCCCTTCTCCTCTCTGTAGTGTTGTCTCAGCTTGGCTCTGCCGAGAACAGACCTGAGCAAAGCCTTCCTCAGCAGAGATTCCAGCTCTCCTCTGCCTTTCAACAGCAGCAGCAACAGATACAAGTAATCCAGCAACTTCACTCTGGTTACATTTTTTTTTTTTTAAGATACTCAGCTCCAAAAAATATCATAAAATGCCTTGCTGTAGGTTTATTTTACTGTCTTTTAAGGCTGAAGTAACTGGTAAATAACTTAGTAATTTTTATTGAAGTCTGACATTTTAAATGCCAGTTAACTTGGAGCAATGAATATATTTTATACATATAATTCATACTTTAAAATTTCTCTCTTAACATGCTGGTGGCACATTACCATACATCTTTTTAGTGTGCAGTATATTTTGAAATAGTTTTAAGTGCCAGGTGTTAACTTTGTAATATTGTACTGTGGAAGTGTTCCTATTAGCAAATGTAATACCTGTTTAGAAAAAGGTTACACTATTATTTTAGGGAAGAAAATCAGCATATTATAACTGAATCTTGATAGTTGGTTTTATTTTGCTATGAACTATCACTAAACATCAAAATGGTAACTGAAGTTGCTGAGTTACTGCAGTATGGCAGGGCTAAGTAACAAATAATTGTGACATTTGCCAAGAATCATTTTTAAAGCCCTCAGCAGGCTTCTGTGCCACTGGTGCTGTTTGACTGTGCATTATCTTGGTGTGTTCCAGTTCCCTTTGGTTATTTTGGTGCTTTCTCTTTCTCAGTTTTGTTTTCATCGCTCCTGAGAAAAGCACCTTTCCACACTTTTCTGAATTTAATATAACTTGATCTTTCTTCCCCTTCCTTCTGCAGCAGTTGCGGTTCTTGCAGCATCAAATGGCTATGGCAGCAGCGGCAGCACAAACAGCCCAGCTACATCGGCATCAGCATCCAGGCAGCCAGTCAAAAAGTAAAATGAAGAGAAGCACGCCAACCACTCCAAAATTCTGAGTTTTTTTTTTTTTTTAAAAAAAAAAAAAACAAAAGCGTTGAATCGAAAGAAATGCATTTCTACTTCACTTCGTTTTTTAAGATGTTGGTATTTTACATTGATAACTGTATGAACTTTATACAGAAGCACAGCCCTGATTTTTAAATACAAATGAGGAAATGGTTAAATGAACTAGGATTGATTTACCTAAGTCATTGCTTTTTAAAGATCTTTTCACTGTACATACCATCTATAGAAATAAGCTAATAAGTACTAGAAACATCTCTCAAAAGAATGTAGTTTGATATTTATTTAGTATAAAATATTTGTGCACAGTGTAACAATACATTTTTTACAAATCTGTTTTCAAAACATGGTGGCTGTTTATTTTTGGTTCATACTTTTAATTACTTCATCCATTAGTTTTTTCACTTCTTTTTGTCTTGTAACTGCTCGGCTCATGCAATCCTGAAGTTTAGCTCCAGTCAGTCCACTCCCACCTAAAGAAATGATTTTGCCAACATTTAATGTCCCCATTATTTTGTGAAACTTAAAAGATCTTGTCAATTTTTTTTAAGCAAACAGATAATGTAAATCTAGTGGTGTGGGCAAGATGTGAAGGTTTAGGTTAGGAAGACCTCCAAGAAACTGATGTATGTCATAACTTTAAGTGATATACATCATAAAAAAGTAACTTGAAGTAGCCAGGAAGCTAGTAAATTTACATTAGCTTAACAAGCATCACATGTTCCATCCCCTACCATGTGTGTACAAACACAAAGTTTTCATCTATATAATGTTTAAAGCTGCAGTGGCAGGAACATGCCTGGTTTGTGTAGACAACACAGCTTGCCATGCTCATTCATTACCACCGTTAAGGTTCCTGTTGCCAAATGCTCCTCCTCTCCAGTAGGGTCAACTATCAGCAAAGTACTAAATTAAAAAATAAAAAGAGTTAGGTTATCCATTCATGGAACAGATTTTAACTTAAAATAATACTACAAGTCCTACTTGCATTTTAGAAGTGTTACTATATATAAAACTGGTAGGAAACCAGAAAAGTGGCAGCCTAAAATATGTGTTAAAAACCTTGCACTTCAATTTGTGACTATCTTAAATTCCTTAGCAAATACTGAAGATAGGTTGGGTTAAGATTATACAGTCATAAGGCTTGAGGTATAGCTCAGTAGTAGAACACTTGCCTAACATGAACAAGGCCCAAGTACCTTTCTTTACACCTCAAAAAAAGAGGAGGAATGAGGAAATGTGGGAACCAGGTAACAAGAGCACAGAATCAGTCCTGTAAATCAGGATGCTTATTCAAGTGGAAGGCAGCTAAAATGTGCAGTGTCTTAAATGTCCAGGCCAACTAGGATTTGTGATCACCTTAGGTATTTCTTATAGTCAGCTAAATAAGCCAGTGCCTTAACTTTGAATGTAGAAATGTTTTTATAAATTCGATTAACTTACTCATCAAATACAGCAAAGGAAGTTGCAACTGGGTTCGTTCTAATGTTCAAATAACTTTTCTTCTTTAAATTAACTTCTGCTAAAGCAGTTTCTTCATTTATAGTAACTTCAGGTAACTGTACTAGAAAAAGGCAAGTAAATATATAAAGTCTTCTGTATATAGCATGGTTTCTATGCTTTAACTTTTTCCTCTAGCTTATCTAGAGCAATTTTTTTTTTTTTGATCTTTTTGGTCTCTTTGAGACAGGGTCTCCCTGTAGCCCCAGCTGGCCTGGAACTCACTGTGTAGACCAGGCTGGATTTGAACTCACAGAGATCTGCCTGCCTCTGCCTCCCAAGTGCTGGAACTACAGGCGTGTACCACCATGCCCGGCTAGAGCAATTTTTTTAAATACAGACAGGCTCTCACTGTATAGCCCAGCTGGCCTGGAATTCATAATCCTCCTATTTCAGCTCCTAAATCCTGTGATTAGAGGTGAATCTCATCAGCATTTTTTAAGTACTTCATTAACAATTAAAGTTTCATTGCCATAAACTGCTTTTTATAACATCTCACATTCCTGTCTAGCTCTTCATCTTTTTCAAAGAAATCCAATGTCTATCCACTTTCTATGTCAGCACTGTCACATTTTCCTTCATTTAGTCATCAGCACTCTTAGGGATAAGGAAACAAACAGAATGGATTTAAAAACAAATCACATAAAAATTCTCAAGAAAACCCTTTAAAAGGTTGTTGACCCATTGGACATTGTCTCATAAACCTAACATTCTGGCCCCATTGGTAGGAATATTTTATTAAGGTTGCTTACCATTTTTTAAAGCTGCTAACAAAGCAAATGTGCAGGCATCCAAAATGTTTCCATCATAGTCAAGGCAAATGAGGTCACAATACAGAACCCAAGCAAGCTAAAAGAGTTCATACAAAAAGATGTTAGACGTTAGGCTTAAAAAGCCGGCTATGACTACCAACCTGACAAGTGACAAATTTCCATTCTTGTTGCTCGATTAGCAAGTGAAAAGCCTAGTTGAAACAGTGTACCAACATACATGAAATGTAGGTCTTTGTACTGCTAACCTGTGTATGTGTGTACATATGCATATACACAAAATAGGAATAACCTCTATAGGTCCTATTCAATCTAATACTGCATTTTCAAGCAACCTTTTTGACACTGCTTTGTGGCTTCTTCTTAAACATAAGCATAAGCAAAAACTGACCTACTATAAGGAATAAGAAAACACCAGCTCCCCAGACAGGCAGTAAGTTATTGTTAGTTAGATGGTAGCACACATCCATAATCCCAACACTTGGGAGGCTAGGAAGGATTAAGTGTTAAGGCCAGCCTGAGCTACATAATGAGATCCTGTCTCATAAAACTAAAACATATAAATAATGAGGCTAGAGAGATGGCTCAGAGGTTAAGAACACTGGCTGTTCTTGGAGAAGCCCTGGGTTCGAATCCCAGCATCCACATGGCAGCTAACAACTGTCCATAACTCCAGTTCCAGGGGATCTGACAGCTTCTTCTGTCCTCCGTGGACATTGCACAACATGGGTGCACTACCTACATGCAAGCAGTATGCACATACACATAAAAAAATAAAAATAGTTGGGGGATTATAAAGTAATATTTTGACAATTACATAACTGCAGACTGCAGAGTTAATCAAAGCTCACTATATTTCTCTTACCTTTCCTGGAGAAATGCATAAGTCCTCCTTCTTAATTATCTGTGAACTTGATTTAATGATAAAGGGCACAGTGAGTGGAAGGCCAAAAACTTTTTAGAAATGAATGACAGTAAAATTTTATCATGATAGTCTTACTTTTCAATGACATCTGCAATGAACTGGACTGCAGAGTTAATCAAAGCTCACTATATTTCTCTTACCTTTCCTGGAGAAATGCATAAGTCCTCCTTCTTAATTATCTGTGAACTTGATTTAATGATAAAGGGCACAGTGAGTGGAAGGCCAAAAACTTTTTAGAAATGAATGACAGTAAAATTTTATCATGATAGTCTTACTTTTCAATGACATCTGCAATGAACTGGCTAGTCACTTGGGCCTCTTCTCCAGGAGGTCCAGTCCGAAATCTTGATGAACACAGGGGTGGTAGATCTACATTAGGAACTGAAGGAGACAACTGTAGCTATGAATTCAATGTTACCTTCTGACTTACTGAAGTTAATATTAAAGGTTTAATCCACAGCTTGGTGGCTGTGGCCATGAATAGAGTTAAGAAGAAAAATTATGATGATAGAATTACAGTCTTGGTCTTTTGTAAGATTGCCAGACTTAGATAAAAAGAAATTTAGGGGGCTGGAGAGATAGTTCAGCGATTAAGAACACTGGTTGTTCTTGCAGAAGACCCGGGTTCGAATCCCAGCACCCACATGGCAGCTAACAACTGTCTGTAACTCCAGTTCCAGGGGATCCAACAGCCTCTTCTGTCCTCTGCACAATATGGGTGCACTTACCTACATGCAGGCAATACACTCATACACATAAAATAAAAATAAAATATTTTTAAAAAATTTATACTTTTCTTATGTTTTCCCACACTACACACACACACACACACACGACATAATAATATAAAACATGCATACATATAAAATGATGCTTCAATCTTCCTAATCCTTCACATAAGTTTTCCTGGTTTCTCCTCAAAATACCTCAGTCTGTAGTAAAACAGCCCTTCTCTACTCACATCCAACTATTTGTTAAATTTAATAAAATTATCTTCTTCCTAAAGAAAAGATAATCCAAAACCAAAAATACTGCCCAGTAGTTTAAAATAAAAGACTATCAGCAGGATTTTAGTTTGTGATTATGGCTCTTTATCTAAAACCATTCCCTTTGGATAGTGACAACTGAACACATAAACAAAAACTGACCAAACAGGTTTGATAAAGTTAATATGCATTATTCAGTTTCTGAACATTGTGACTCGTTCAACTATCAGGACTTAATTACAATTGTTAGTGTTAAAATGTGTTGAAGTATTTGTTAAATTTACAAAACGGTTTAACTCACCAATATATCCTTTAGCAGGAGCATCTGTTGATGGTGTTGCAAATTCCTATAAAAGCAAACACATATATCCCAGTGAAAGAAACCACTAAATGTTATGAAGACATTTTTAGCAATTAGTTATGGGAAACTGTACCGAAGACCCCCTCAGCTAATTATCCCATCTTTAGCATCTACTGTGCTTGGAGAATCGTGTCAGGACTATGTAGATATTGGCACTGATTTTCCCAATGGCTCACAGCAAGGTTAAAGAAAGGCAGTATGCTTTAGTGAACTATATGCTGCTCATCAACATTACCTGGGGTGATTAATTCAGAAGCATTTATTAGGCTTCTGCCCCACCCTCTATCCACTTAATAGCTAAGAATCTGAGTTTAATCCTCAAGTGACACTGACACAGTCAGATTTAGGAATAGTGGCCAGAAGCAAAAGCTCTACAATGACTAACCCAGTTCAACTGACAGACCCACACTTACAGGCTGAGAGATTTGGGATAAGTAATTTGATCCTTCACTTTCAACTTCCTCATCTGTCACAGGGGCAGATGCCACTGCCTGCCTATTCCTATTAATGAGGATCAAATGAGATAATGCCATTAGGTCCTAAAATAAAACCTAGTAAGATAGTTACCATCTCAACTTTACCAAAAATCTGAACTTGGGTGAAGTAACTCAGAGTGTAATGTAGACAAGAAATCACAGGCTTTGGAATCAAGATTTATGGCACAGTTCTGCTTATAAGCCTTGTATAACTTGGGAAGTTACTGGACCTCAAGTGTTGAACAGAAGACGGGAGCTGGATAATTCTGTGAAGCAGCTAATAAGGTACTCCAACACAGCAGGTTGTTAGTAGATAGTAGCTACTATTCCTTCAAACTTAACAGTCTCAAATGTCTGCAGATTTACAGATTAAAATGCTATCACAAGCTAAAAGGGTATCACCATAGAAATTTCTCCAATAACCAAATTCTCGAAACATTTGAAGTAATGAGGATTATTAAATTTCAATTATTTGATGTGTAAACGAGTTATTAAGCAGGTTGTATTGCCTGATGGTCATAAGTAGAAAGAAGCTCTTGGGTAATTAAAATACTAAAAAAGACACCTGACTAATCAACAGAATTACAGGTCTGTATTACAATGTAGTAAACAGCTAATTTGGAACCCAAAAGTCAACTATATGAATTAAACCTACCGCTTTAACTCCACAAATTACTGTAGTATTTCCCAGCTTTACTAAAGCAGAACCATCCGCAGTACTAATTGAACCTGAAAAAGGCAAGTATGGTATTTACACAATTTTTTTTTAAATGAAAACAACTACAAAATTAGCTACAGTTCAACTCATTGATTTTTTTTAAAAAAAAAAGTGTTACTACTAAAAGTTAGTGTTTTAAGATTTTTTTTCCTGTCCTTGAATTTAAGCTAATCACTTTTAAATCAGTGTTAAGACTGCTGTAAAGATAAAATCTGTTAAAAGAAATCATCATATCCCTTAGGCATTGTAGAATTTGGTTGAAATATGCTTTTAAGTGGCACATAGGATAAAACCTGGGGATGTTATACAATTGAAATGAAAATATATGTTTACCTATGTTTACAGTTGTGGTTCTGAATTCACCAAGTTCTCTTCCATCAGGACGGCAGTTTTCTTTCTAAATGTTTATAAAGAAATAGATTACATGCATATTTCACATATATTGGGGAAAAACATATTAGCGAAAGATGTCTTGAGGCCTAATGTGTACTCACCAGAAATCTCCTGTAATACTCCAGAGGTTCCACAGTTCTGAAACATGTAAGTTAATGCATCTTAAAACAATCCAGAAATTAGTACAGAAATTTGTTGTCAATTGTATTTATAAAAAGTAAATAACCCAGCTGGGCAATGCTAGTGCATGCCTTTAACCCCAGCACTTGGGAGGGAGAGGCTAGCCTAATCTATCTACATAGTAAGTTCCAGACCAGCTGGGGCTCCAGGGAGACCCTGTTTCAAAAAGACCAAAAAAAAAAAAAAAAAAGTAACTACAGTAGCAACTAGATTTCATTGGTGTCCTTAACAGGACTGGAGTCCAAGGCCCTTGACATACTTAAAGAGAGTAATCTAGGTGTTAAACCTTATTCTTGCTCTGAAGCAGGGATTTTTGGTGATCCTGAAAAGTTACTGAAATTGAAATTTAGCACTTCAGGAAATCCCAAGTGTTTTTGTTTCTATAGTTAATGGGTGGTATGTTTAGGCTCATCATAAACTATAATTTCAAGAGTTTACTACACTTGCTAACAAGTTAAAGGCAGCAAGCAGGGTCCTTAGGCCTCCAGGTGCATCAGTGGAGGGGGTCCCCCTTCTACTTCACCCTCCTGTGCCATACCACTTTGACTCAGTGGGAGGCTGCTTACCTACGCTGACAGGGCCCAGAACTGTCCTGGGCTGAGGGTGTTCAGTGCAGCCTTGGTGACAGTGTCTGTCTGTGGACCCCAGAAAGGGACATCAAGGTGGGAGAGACAGATTCTTGTGTTTGTTTGTTGTTTGTTTTAGACAGGGTCTCTCTGTAGCCTCAACTGGCCTGGAACTTGCTATGGAAACCAGGCTGGCCTTGATCTCACAGGGATCTCCCTGCCTCTGCCTCCTGAGTGCTTGGATTAAAGGTGTGCGCCCCCCCGCCTGGCATGCTTTTTTTTTTTTTTTAAAGATAGCTTCCATTCATTTTGATAGTTCACTTTTTCTCTTAGGTTGTTTTAACATTGATCCTAATTTTAAAAAAAATTATATTTTTTATGTGCATGAGTGTTCGCCTGTGTGTATGTGAGTGTACCCATGTTGTGCAATACTCCTGGAGGCCAGAAGAGAGTGTTGGTTGAACTGGAGTTAAGGATGTTTGTTAGCTTCTCACACCCACTCTGTCGAGACTCCAGCAGCTTAGATGCTGATGGTGTGCCATCTGTGTAGCTCCATGCTCACAATGTCTGTGCTTTCACGTGATATTGTTGGCCCATCCTCAGAGCAGACATTCTCCTGGGACAAACACAGGGACCTTGGCAGTGAGGCTCCCTGCCCTGATTTCTGTGTGGCTTGAGACTCTTCCAGATCTGCTTCCCCAAGTCTGTGTTTTGTGATTCCAACACAGATGTGATGAAGAAATGCTATCATTTTGGTGATTTGCATACAAACCACAGTTCTTTCTACAGCCTTCTCTCCCATACTATCTACCCCAGGACATCTGAACCCTGGGCTCTTGACATGCAGGGCCACATGCCAAGGACTCAGTATGAGTGCAGAGTGGGGGAGGGGAGGGTAAGGGGCACTGGTACCTGCCTTCATCTACCTTCCCCCTTTTTGTTGAGACAGGGTCTCCCTGTAGCCCCAGTTAACCTGGAACTCCATATGTAAACCAGGCTGGCCTCTTTCTCACAGAGATCCACCTGTCTCTGTTTCCTGAGTGCTGGGATTAAAGGCGTGTGCTACCATGCCCAACTATAGTGCACCTGTTTTGTTTTCCATAGACACCAGGAGAATGCTAGCCTTGGTCTACTACAGACCATTTATACCACCCAGCTACTACTGTCTATCCTTGATGCCTATGGGAGATATCAGTAAAGAAGTGTCACAGGGTATGGTGGCACATGCCTTTAGTCCCAGAGCTTGGCAGGCAGAGGCAGGTGGATCTCTGTGAATTCAAAGTCAGCCTAGTCTACATATCCAGTTCCAGGCCAGTGGGGCTACAGGGAGACCCTGCTTCAAAAAGACAAAAAAAAAAAAAAAGCAATACGCCCAACATCTTTACATGGATGAATTGCATGGCATATGAATTATGTCACAGTGAGGCTCTTAGAATTCTTAGTCTGACATTTAAGTTCATCTTTATTTGTTGGGTTTGGCAGAGCACCTAACTCGCGAGAGCTGCGCTGGGCCCTCCTCGCCGCGCAAAGGCGCTGTGGACCTCGGTGCCGTTGTGGTGAGGCGCCGCCGCTACGGTGGGGGGCGGGGCCTCGAGGCCGCGCAGCCTCTCTGGTGGAGGGGGCGGGGTCTCCGGCCTCTCTGGTGGCGGAGGCTGGGCCTCGGGGCGCGCTTCCGCTTGTGTGGAGCTGTGGGATAGGGCCGGCGGCTGCCAGGGATGGAGGATGATTGTACTTCTGCTGCAGCTGGCTGTACTTGGCCCGGCGTTGGCGGCCGCGACTCTTGTTCTGGTGAGGACAGTTGGGGGGATCGGGCGACCTGCCTTTACATTCTTCCGGAGTCTCCTGCTCCCAGGCGTCCCCTCCGCGCTGCCTTTGCACCTCGACCCCGCAAAATTCCTGACACTGGGTTTCCGCGGAAGAGTCTTCACACCTTCTTTTCGGTTTTTTATTTTCCTCTTGAAACCGTGCTTGTCTGTGTGCCCAGATCCTTGCGAGGTGCTCCTCCAGCTCCACCAGCTTCCTGGGCCTCTGCTCCGGATCCCCGTCCACCCAGCTTGTCACCTCCCCTAGTCTTCCTCCCCAGCCCGCAGGCTGCAAGAGCACCCGGACAGGACAGGCCTGAGCCCCCCAGAAGTTGTGCCATGTGCTATACAGTTGGGAATAGATCGATGGATCCAGAAGACTAGGGACGCCGGGTGAGGGAGAGACAGGCCCAGACCTTGTTCTGTTACCTTCTGGCCAGGGCTCGTTATGTCCCAGAATCAAGCTCTTTAGTATTTCCTTTGTCATTCTGGAAATACAAAAATACTTGCAGATGATGGAAAATTTGCTAACTGACCTCTGCCACATGGTTTGGAATAAGCCTGCCACCCAGTCGTTACACGGAGACAGGTGTCTTGGCACTAAGAAAGACTAGGTTCCTAGACAGTTTTGCCAGGAAGGTTTTACAGCCTAGGAACAGTTTAGATAGACTGACTTTGTTGCTGTCTGGATGAACCTGGCTCCCTCTTAACTAGTATTAATTAGTATGTCTTCTTTCAGGCCTTTCAACAAATCCGACTTCTGTTAACACAGTTCTACGTTGAAGCTGCCTTTGAATCTTTGCACAGATTTGAATGTGTACTTTCGTTAGGAGATTGTACCTGCAGTATTAGATCCCAACTAGCTTGAAGCAAGAATAGGAGATACTGAATGTTGTACTGAGTGTTTAAAATGTGGATCTTTGAAACGGTTCTAGGACATAAACTAAATGCTGCCAGTAGCTTCATGTTGTTGGTTAGGACACAATTTGGAAAGAAAAACTCAAATGTCTTTCAATAGGAGAAATGTCTATAGGTGAAATTTAGTTATCATCTATAAAACACATTTTAATTTCCAGCCCATCTGCTGTTTGTTCTTTCTCCCCACCCTGTCTCATTTTTAAAAATTATTTTAGGGGGCTGGAGAGATGGCTCATTGGTTAAGAGCTCTGGCTGCTCTTGCAGAGGATTTGGGTTGGGTTCCCAGCACCCGAGTGGCGCCAACAACTGGCCTGTAACTTCTGACCTACTCAGACATTGCACAACATGGGTACACTTACATATATGCAGACAATACACTCATACACATAAGATTAAAAATACATTTTTAATTATTTTAAAGCAAATCCAAGAGTTTTATCTGTAAATCATCTAATTTATTTCTACAAGGACCCTCTTTTTAAAATTTAAAAAAGTTACTGCAATAAGGTGATTCCATGTATTTTTAAAAATCTAACCATTATTTCTTTAGTTTCAAATACCGTGTCAATTTAAATGTTCTGTTTACCTGTACTGTACTCTGTATGTCTTCGTGTTTTCTATAGTTTGGAATTCACTAATTACATCTCCCTTGGTGCCTTTAACATCTGTCTCCCAAATTTTTTATAAACTAGTACGATCTAGAGATTTAATCAAATGTGTGTGTGTGTGTCTTTTTGTGGGTTTCTTTCTATTGGTTGGCTGATTTGGTTTTGCTTTTCTGAGACAGGATCACTTGTAGCCTGTGTTAGCACTTATATGTTACTGAGGATGACCTTGAACTCCTGATCCTACCTCCACTTTTTTTCAATTTTGCCTGCATGTAGGTAAGTGCACCGGCATCGTGCAGTGCCTGCGGAGGTCAGAAGAGTTTGTCGGATCCCCTGGGATTGGAGTTACAGACAGTTGTTAGCTGCCATGTGGGTGCTGGGATTCGAACACGGGTCTTTTGCAAGAGCAATCAGCGTTCTTAACTGCTGAGCCATCTCTCCAGCCCTCCTACCTCCCCTTTTTAAGTGCTAAATTACAGGTCCATGCCACAACACCCAGTAGATATTAGAGGGATTTTTCTTTTACATGTTTTTTTTAAAAGTGTTATGTGTGTGAGTGTTTTGTCCACATGTATTTGCCACATGAGTGCCTGATGCCCATGGAGGCCAGAAGGAATTGGAGGATCCTCTAGAACTCTAGTTATAGACTGTTGTAAGCTGCCATATAGGTGCTAGAAACCAACCCAGGTCCTCTGCAAGAGAAGCAAGGGCTCTTAACAGCTGAGCCAGCTCTGTAGCCCCAGGTGTTGGAGGTTTTAATCAAAATAAATGTATGAGTGATGCTGCCCACTTCTTCATATCAGGGATATGCAACAGCTGGTGATATCTGGTGTTACAATAGATCAGTGGGATCAGGTGTTGCCAGCCTGCTCCACAGAATGTTTGTCATCAGTCTGATGATTTAGCAGTCATTGTGATCACTACCTGAACACTCTTTAACTATGTTGCAACTGTGGGCTGCAACTCCATCATTCCTTTTTCATTTATTACCTGGAACTTTATAATGAAAAGTCCTCAGATACCCAGGTACCTGAAATACCTTTTATATATATAGGGCAAGTTTTTAAAATAATGAGATTATTTTCTTTGGTGTCCTAAAAGGTGACCAGTTCTTATTTTTAATATCATTACGTATTTTTCACGTGTTTCAGTCCATTGCAATAATTATTCTTTCTGATACTGAAACTCTTCCCTAACAGGCCAGTGGAACCCTTATAATTGCTCATATATTTTTTGTTTTCTGATGTGGTGCACTGCTGCCATACCACTTCTACCCCAGATCTAAATCAGCTGTTCATTGTTAGGAGCACTGGTTGCTCTTCCTGAGACAGGCTCACTTGTAGCCTATGCTGGCATTTATATGTAACTGAGGATGACCTAGCACTCCTGATCCTACCTCCACTTTTTTTTTTTTAACTATTTTATTTTATTTCATGTGTGTACTGTCTGCATGTAGGTAAGTGCACATGTGTGTGCAGTGCCCGCAGAGGCATTGAATTCAAAAGCCACAGTCTGGACAATAGGGTGCAGCAGGACTCTTCACTGCTAATGTGGCTACTCTCCCTGTGCTCACACTAGTCAGAAGCACATCCAGTGTACACCCAGTAGGCAGGACACTACATTCATGAAAGCACAAATGAGTACAGTTCCAAAAATATGTAGGTCCTTTTAACAAAAAGTTTACCAGTATAAGCAGTGGTACAAATAATGGTGAATTTCTAAAGCTAGCTCCCAAGTACATGTGGAAGGAAGTCTATGGGGTTTGTTTTGCTTTTTAGCTTTTTTTTATGTGTATGAGTATTTTGTCTACATGTACGTAAGAGCATCATGAGTGCAAAGCCTGCAGAGGTCAGAGTTTGTATATTATTCCAGGAGACGTTCTGCTCTGAATTCAAATTAAGTGTCAAAATACATTCTTGAGCATTATGGCCCCTGTGGGGCTCAAAGGAATCCCCCCTTCATGTACTGAGTTGGTCTGGTCATAAACAGAAGCCTGCCTTCACCCTCTGCATTTCAGCCACCTTTTCCTCTGTCCCCTAAGGCTCCAGGTAGGAAATGGGACCTCACTGTGCACCCTAAAAGTTGGCAGCACTTCCTTCAGTGGCTGTTTCCTATTGGATCACCAATGGAAGAGGCCTGGGAAATGACAATGTTTGGACAAAGGCCTCCTGAAGTATAATGGGAAAAAGGAGTTGTCAGTTCATAAGAAAGAGGCTGATTGAGGACTGTCTGCCCTCTAACTACAGAATTACCTCCAGACCACTGTTAATGGGTCAAAAACTGGGAATCAATATTCACTAAGAAAAAAGTTGTGGAAATGATACATTTTAAAACATAGCAAATACAAAAATAAATAACATGTTTTACATGTCTGCTTTTAGATTTCTATTGTTGCATTTATAACTGCTACAAAAATGCCACCACATCACCAAAATGAAGAAGAGAAGTTCTTCTTAAATGCCAAAGGCCAGAAGGAAATTTTACCCAGCATCTGGGACTCGCCTACCAAACAGCTTTCTGTTGTTGTGCCTTCATACAATGAGGAAAAACGGTGTAAGTTCTTTATGGCCTTTTTTAATAATGGATAATTTGGGAAGAAAAGGAAATGTACAATGTTGGAGTTCACTGAAGATGCTGAGATGGTTGGTGACTTGAGAATGGGGAAAGTGAGTGCTGTAAGGAGTAGGAGCAGCATCTTGAGGGATGCAGTGTTCTAGAGAAGTAGTAACATGAACAAAAGACATCCAGTGAGGATGGCCTGGGGGACATCCCAGAGGGGCTTGGTAAGTGAAGGGGACATTTTCACTATGTAAATGGAGTGTGCTGGGGCTAGGTAACTCATTTTCAAAAGTAGTCTTTAAAATATTTTTTTCTTTAAGTGCCTATGATGATGGACGAAGCCCTGAACTACCTGGAAAAGAGACAGGTATCATACTTCTCTTTCCATGTCATATCTCCAGTTAAAATTAAACCAGGTCACAAGTGGTGGAGCCCCAAGCTAGGTGCACCCTGGGAGGCAATGCTGATCCCTAGGCCACACGGGGCCAACGCACAGCTCACTACCTCTAGCATCAGCAAGCAGGCCCAGTGCACAACACACTACCTCCAGAGACAAACCAGAAAGCCAGCCTTTCTCTTTCTGGGCCCTCCTACTCTCTTAATCCCCTCTTGCCTGATAATATACTATGGATTGAGTGCCAATGCATGTCTGCAGACTTTTACTTCTGTGGCTTCTTTGGGAAAAGGTATATCTATATATTTTTTTGCAGTTTCTGCTATTGGAGTCTTTTAAGCATACTCAACAAAATATTTTTTATTTCTCAAACATTATATACTAAATTCACATGATTTATATAAAATTATAATCTCAAAAATACAGCCAGGTGTGGTGGTGCATGCCTTTAATCCCAACACTCAAGAGGCAGAGGCAGGCAGATCTCTGTGAGGTAGAAGCCAACCTGGTCTACATAGTGAGTTCTAGGCCAGCTGTGGCTACAGGGAGACCATGTTTTAAAAAGACCAAAAATAATTTTTTGAAGTTGTAAATTGTACAAAATTAAAATACTTGAGAGCAAACTAAAGCTACCCAGCACAAGGTCAGGTAAGGGAACCAAGGGGAGGCACACAGATTTAAGACGGTGTGTTCCCACTGATTCTGCCCAGTGTCTGTCTTTCTGTTCTTAGCCTTTTTATTGATTTGTGCACTAATGTTTGTATTTGTCCACAGCAAAATAATTGTTGCTTAAATTAGAACTTTCTTAAGGCAAGCCCCCCCCTCCAATAATTTTTTTTTTTAATTTTAATTACAACTTTATGGGCTGGCAAGATGCTGCCAAATGTGGCAGTCTAGGTTTGATCCCTGGGACCAACATGGTAGGAGAGAATAGACCCCTGTAAGTTGTCCTCAGACCACCACATGTATACCCTGGTTCCTGTACATGTGCATGTGAATACACATGCAAATAGATAAATTAAAAATTAATAACAAATTACACCTTTATTGGTCTTGCTGATAATTTTACCAAATTATGACCTGTTATTTTTGCTTCTTGCAGAAACATGATCCTGCATTCACTTATGAGGTCATAGTAGTCGATGATGGCAGTGTAGACCAGACTTCAAAGGTAAATACATGTGGTTTTAGAATGACCACTTGATAGAAAACATGGAATAATTTAGCACATGTGGCATCTCATTTCTGTTGCTGATAAAATAGCCTGATCAAAAGCAGCTTTGGTTTGACTCACGTTAAGTTAAATTTACTGCTGGGAGGTGTGCACGAAGCTTCTAGGCTCCTGACACCCTCCTCCCACCATCCTTACAACAAACCGATAAACCGAGACAGTATTCCTCCAGACTACAGTTTAGGGAACAAATGGATTTATTGGGCTTGCTAACAGAGCATAGGGTGGTGGTGAGAGGGTACTTACAAAGCTGTGGGCCTCCTTGGGCTTTTTTCCCTATGTCCCAGCAGCAGCTTTCTGACCTGCTGTCCGCATTCCAAGATGGCGAATACCACCCCCTCACTGTGGCTTCCTTGTCCCTACCCTTAGTCCCTCCACTTCATATAGCCAAGGCTAACTGATTGGGTGAGAGGAGTGACTGCCCCTCCCTTCCTATGGAGGGTCTATAGTCAAATTAGTTTGAGGTAATTGAAGCAACTGGGTGAGAAGCTAGAGAAAAACACATCTTCCCATTGTTTGCTTGCCAGTCTGGCCTGACACTCGGAGGGCAAGTTCATCTAACGTTCTACCACTTCCTCAGTCTCTTAACACTCTATCCACCAGCCTCTTCCACAAGAGTCCCTAAGCCTTCGGGGGAGTGACAGATGCAGGATGATCTTTTCTTCTGTTGTGGCAAGATATTAAACTTTTGGGCCTTCTTATCAATTGTTTCCAAGACATGGCTGTTGATCCATCTCAGTGGTATTTCTCCTATTATAAAGGCAAATGAAAAGTAACAGGAACATCTAAATGAACATTAACTGTTGTAATAATCTAACCTATGGGTATAAACACAAATGCTTGGAAGATACCTTGACAGGTGCATTGCATTCATTTTACAAAATACTTGCAGTAGCTTCTCCACTGAGGCCTATAAAACACACACACACACACACACACACACACACACACACACAAATACACACTGCACACCCGCAACGGTGGGTTGGCCTGGTCGACAGCACCAGATGTGTGTTCCACCCCTAGGAGCAGACCATATATCCAATCAGAAATTTGTCCGTTGTAAATATAATAGTTGAGCCACTATTGTACCAGCAGGCACATCTTGCTTGGCATAGTCAGCCTATCTAGAGTCTCTACCTATAAGAAGATGAGGTCTTCCTCACCCAGCAATAATCAGCTGTCAATAATTCAACTAAGATTGGGGCCTGCTGTTCATTTCCTCAATTCTGTGCTGGGTTTTTGTCTGCTTAAGTTTGCATAGGTCTTGTGCATGCTGACACCATTGCTGTAGGTTCATATGAGAAGAGTCCCAGGTGCCTGTAGGACTGTTTCTGTATGGTCATACACCTCCTCTCTGACTCTTACAATCTTTCTGCCCCTCTTCCGCAATTGTCCCTGAGCCCTGGGTGGGTGGATTTTAATATAGGAGTCCTGTCCAAGGACCCACACTCTGCAAGCTCTTATTCTCTGTGCTTTGGTCATCTGTGACCTTTTGTGTTCCTGGTCCTCTGTTGCATGAGGGAGCTTCATTGATGAGAGCTGAAAGATACATTAGTATTCTTTTCATCCCTTGTTCTATGTTCCTTGAGCCTTAGGTGTAGAGGTTGCATTCTAGATGTGCACTTAGGCTTGGGAAATTCACAGTCTCTGTGTGTGACCAGTTGTGGAACTCTGTAGTTATCTCTGTCTCTTGAAGAAGAAGCTTCTTTGATGGGTGGTGACTGGGATACTTGTCTGTAAATTTTAAGGATCCATATTTTGCACATAGTAAGAAATTACATTTGTCTAGGGACATGACAGCCTTGAAGTTTTCTCTGAGATCTGTGACCTCTCCAGCTATGTTTATTGGCTAGGTTTACAGTACCACACATGAGTTTCTTCCTATTGAGTGGGCTTTAAGTCCAATTAATTAGGTAGCTGTTGATTACCCCCAGGATACAAGTGCTACTGTACCAATGTCATTTGCTGTGCTGGTCATTAATGTGGTTATTAGGCCTTGAAGCTGGGGTTGGACCATCAACTGACGTTCTCCCTTAGCAGCTTGCATAGTGCTCTCCAAAGCTATGAGAGCTAGCCTTCAGGGGAGGTGGCTTGCAGGTCAGTTCCAGCTCTGTTGCTCCAAATCCTGTGTCCAAAGTATGTCCTGTCTTCAGCATTAGGGTCTTACTATCAAGTTCTGGGTGGTAATCAAGGACTGTGGTAATAGCCTGTGTGATTTGGGGAGTCTCTTGAACTACCCTGGCCAACAACTCAAAGGGAGGTTTCCCCTTTCTGGCACGTTTTCTTGTTATGTAGTCTTCAGCTATACACATGGACTCACATAGAGATATTCTATGTGTAATTTTTCAGTAGTTTTTTTTGGGTGGGACTAATATAATTCCCTCTGGGTTTTTTTTTTTTTTATATATATATACTAGCAAGGCACTACTTATCAACAGATTTTTTTAAAGTTATTATTAATGTATGAGTGTTTTGCCTGCATGTATGTAAATGCGCCCGTGTTGTGCAGTGCTTGCAAGGACAGAAGAGGGTGTTAAATTCCTTAGAACTGGAGTTATGGATGGTTGTTAACTTCCATGTGGATGCTGGGAACCAAACCCGGTCATCTGCAAGAGCAACCAGTGCTCTTAACCACTGAGCCATCCCTCCAGCCCTGAAAACACAGATTTTGTTTGTGGAAAGGTAGAAAATAGGTTCGCTGTGTCACTGCTCCCTGTGAACAGGGAGGCTTTGAAGACCACCAGAGAGGTCTGAAAACCTTCTTTTCCTACCCATTTGTTTGTCCTTTTTTTTCCTAAAGAGATTTCCTATCTTTCTGACCCATCTTCAAGTTTCTAAATTAGTCATATATGTGGGAACTGTCCCCACTTATCTGTGACTGAGTACCAGATGTGCCCTTTGCCATGCCAGGCCCCATCTCGAATTGCCCAGGGAGGTCTAGAACCCCATGTCATGCCCACTTTCCTAGACCTTTAACTGGCCTGCTCAACTGTGATGACTTTGTGACAGTACTTTATCAGGTCTCACCAATGTCTCTGATAAATATTTTCTAAACTCTAAACTTCTTTATTAGTAAGAATGCTTCACAGGTGTGGTTGTGCATGCCCATAATCCTAAGCACTTGAGGCTGAGGCAGGTGAATAGAGTTTAAAGCCAGCCTGGGCTTCATAACAAGACCTTATCTAAAAAAACTGGGCAAGGTGGTACACATCTATAATCCCAGCACTTAGGAAGTGAAGACAGGAGACTCAGGAGTTCTCAAGGCCAGCCTGGGCTACAGTGAGACCCTTTCTCAAAACACAAAGCTTCATGTTTTCTTCTTTGATATTCATGTTCTTATAATAAAAGATTCATTTATGATGCTCTTGTTAAATAGCAACATAATAGACCTTAAAGACAATGTACCAGAAACTGGGCATGGTGGCACATGCCTTTAGTCCCAGCACTTGGGAGGCAGGGGCACACAGATCTCTGTGAGTTCAAGGACAGCCTGGACTATAGTGAGTTCAAGGCCAGCCTGGTCTATATAGTGAGTTCCAGGCCAGCTGGGGCTATAGGGAGACCTGTCTCAAAAACACCAAAAAAAAAAAAAAATGTACAAGGAAATACTCATTCACTGGACTATTCATCAGCTAATGCTTGTTGTTAAATATCAACTACAAGGACTGGAGAAATGGCTTAGTAGTTAAGAGCACTGACTGTTTTTGCAGAGGACCCAGGTTCAGTTCCCAGCACCCACATGGCAGTTAAAAACTATCTCTAACTCCAGTTCTAGGGGTTCTATGCCCTCTTCTGATCTCTGTGAGCATTGCATGACACAAGTACACTTACATAAAGGCAGGCAATACACTACAAATATTTAAAGATCAACTATATATAAAACACAAGAGCTTATGCCTTTTTATAATGAGCCTCAGAACAATTGAGAGATAAGCCTGAAAATTCCATGACATAGTTAAGTGGGACCAAAGATCATGGTGAAAAGAATTTAAGGAAGGAGGTGACTTTGGAACTAAATCTGTAAAGTTAGTTGTAACTAAAAGTATGGAAGTAATCCATCCAGACTGAGCATAGATGCCAGAGAGATTGGCAGGATCTATCCTAGGAAGAAATGATGTGCTCTATCAAATGGGACATTGCAGTTACAAACAGGCTGCCTCTGAGTTTGTTGAGACACAAAGGGAATGGCCTGGAAAACATGTTGCTCTTATGGTTGAGTGTGGAAGTGGTCTCAGCTCCACTGAGAAGCAGCTTCTGATGACTACTTTTCATAGCAGCCCTGAGCATTTGAGTGGCCATCTAGTCTCCTGGAAGGGTTAGGATGTGTGAAGGAGTACTTAGCAGTTGTCCCTATGGCCTCCCAGGTTGGAAGAAGCTGAAAACTTGAAACATATTTACTAGAAAGTGTTTGTTTCTAGGGATTAAACCTAGAGCTTTGATTATATTAGGCAAGTGCTCTACATCCCCAGTCCTTTTTTGTTTATTTTGAGACATAGCCTCACTTAGGTACCCAGGCTAGCCTTGAATTCACTCAGTAGCTCAGGGAGGCCTCAAACTTGTAATTTTGCCTTAGCCTCCTGAACAGCAGAGATTATAATTTTCTTATTTTACAATTATATTGTATACCATCACACTGAACACAAGTTGTTGTTTTTTTTTTTTTCAGAGGAGCTAGCGTTCCGTAAGTTAGGTATTTGATTGACTTGCCTGTTAGTGTCTTGTAGTCCTTGGAATGTGAGGAAAATTGGAGTTATACCTCCTGTTGAGGAGTTTCAGGCTCAGGAGGCCTGAAATGTATAGTGCAAGAGAATACTGCAGTGCTAGAGAAGCATTTATTAGATCCTTGAATCTCGAGATGAGCAAGCACTCCATGTGAACTAAGTTCACACAGGCAGGCCTGCTGCTACAGTCTTCTGCAGAGCACATTCTCACGCATCAGTGTGTGTTCCAGTGTGGCTTCAGCAAAATTTGCTTCCTTGAAAGCTAGCATCGTGTCCTGTAGAGGCTGCCTTCCATCCTGGCTTAGGAAAGAGATGCTGAGTTCACTTAGCTGTGTACACTATGACTTCGTTTTCCTGCTCTTGTTGTATTAGTGATTAATACCTACAACTTAGATGAAATGTTTTTTGAATAAGCGCTTCTTGAGATGGGATGAGCCGTGGACCCTTACTGGAATACAGAGATATGAAAGCACTCTCTGCAGTGAAGGAGTTTACACCTCAGTACTTACACCAAATAATTGCGAGCACAGTGCATTAAATATTTTCACTAGTTCAGAACTTTTTCATGGAGTATATTTAGGTAATAAAGGCATTTAATTACCTCATGCCAGGAATTGTGAGCATAGTTAATTCTGGAGTCAACCCACCATTGAAATTGTCAGGTTGCTGTCGTGTGTGTGTGTGTGTGTGTGTGTGAGAGAGAGAGAGAGAGAGAGAGAGAGAGAGTTATATAAGATCTCGTTATGTATGTAGCTGAACAGTGGTCACGTGTCCTGAAGCCACAAGAGGCAACTCGGACGTTAAGAATGCTTGTGTGCCTTTCCTTTTACCTAGGAGTAAAAGTCTGTCAGAAGCCCTGTCTTCCAACAGACTTAACCTGGGTTCATGAGTTAAAACTTGGAGACATGGCTAATCACCAAAGGTCGCTGGGAAAGCACTTGGCAGAGAGGATTTAGAGCAATCATAATTCATCTCTCAGGGCTTCAAATATTGTCATTCAGCAAGCCTGGGACCATAATTGCAAGGGAAAGTAGCAGCCAAGGGCCCTCCACAGTGCTATTGTACAAGCCCATAGCTGAATTTGCTCAATAAAGCTCATCAGTTCCAGACTGTCACGCCCTGCCCATGCAGTCACAGTCAGCCCTTAACACATTCAACCAAATACTCTCCAATAATTGCTATGTTTTAAAATTCATTTTATTATTTATGTATATATGTGTGTATATGTACATGTGTATGGGTACCCACAGAGGCCAAGAGAGAGCACCAATCCCCTGGAACTGAATTACAAATAGTTGTGAGCTGTCTACCCCCGCCCACAACCCCCCATGTGGATGCTGGGAACTAAACTTTGGTCCTCTGAAAGAGCAGAATGTGCTCTTAACTGCTGAGCTATCTCTCCAGCCCCTAAGTTTTTGGGAGTTTTTTTTGTTTTTGTTTTTTTTAATTTGTGTCTGAGGCTGGGGATGTGGCTCAGTAAAAAGCCCTTGTATAGCATGCCTGAGGCCCTAGGTTCAACCACACTAAATAAGAAAAAAAAGGAAGTCCAATTAGTACTGGACACATAGACTTGGGGGTTTTCCCTTGTGAGTATTCCCTGAACAATACAGTGTAATAGCGACTTATATTAGGAACTGTAATAGTCCAGGGCTGGAGAGATAACTCAGTTGGGAAAATCCTTACCTTGCAAGCCTTACTACCCAAGTTTAATATTCAGAACCCACATTTTTTTTTAAAAAGGCAAACATGGTGTGAACACACTTGCAAAGCCAGCTCTAGGTATCAGATCCCTGGACCTAGCCTACTTGGTAAGTTCTAGGCCATTGAGAATATTTGTCTCAAAAAACAAGATGCATAGCCTGGCATGGTGGTGTGCTTCTTTAATCTCAGTACTCCCAGCACTCAGGAGACAGAGATAGGCACATCTTTGTGAGATCAAGGCCAGCCTGGTCTACATAGTGAGTTCTAGGCCAGCTGGGGTTACAGGGAGACCCTGCCTGAAAAACAATCAATCAGAATAATCAAGATGGATGGCACCTGAGGAGTGATACCCAAGGTTGTCATCTAGCCTTCACACACCCAAACATGCTGCACACACATGAACATGGACACATGCGTGCACACACAAAATAATCTAGAGGTGATTTATAGTACACAGACAGGCACAGAATTTTCAAGTGCTGAAAGAAGAGGAAAATACGGGTAATGAGATTGCTCAGTCCATAAAGTACTCCCCATGCAAGCATGAGGACTTGAGTTCAAGACCTAGAACCCATGCAAAAAAGTTGGGTAAGCGCCAAGCCAATAAGATACCTGTCTCAAGAACAGAGTGGATGCTTTGTGAAAAATGCACCCAAGGTCAGCTTCTGGCCGACATGCATGTACACATACAGTTTTGTTTTGTTTTGATTTAAAGAGAGTAAGACTGGAGAGATGGTTCTGTGGTTAAGAGCACTGGCTGCTCTTGCAGAGGACCCAGCTTCAGTTCATACACAAATTATTATTATTTTTTTTTTTTTTGGTCTTTTTGAAACAGGGTCTCCCTGTAGCCCCAGCTGTCCTGGAACTCACTATGTAGACCAGGCTGGCCTTGAACTCACAAAGATCTGCCTGCTTCTGCCTCCTGAGTGCTGGGATTAAAGGCATGCGCCACCATGCCCAGCCATACACAAAATTTTTTAAAAATCAAAAAATGTAAAAGGACCAGGATGAGCTGGGCATAGTGGTACACACCTGTATCTGCAGACTATGATGTAACGATATTATATTACGGAAGAACAGAGGGTCTGAGCCATGCTATAGTCGATCGAGGAACAAAGTGGTGATGAAGATACACAGGCAGCAAATGGAGATCAGTTTTCCGACTAATTTTGGAATTTTTTTTCAAGGTGCTGGGGATTAAACCCAGGACTTTGGGCATCACAGGCAAGCACTCTGCCACTGAACTACATTCTTAGCCCATGACTAATTATAAATCCAAGTACTGGTAGTTGCTTGGGATAATAGTGAAGTGAAAGGAAGTAGCTGTAGTTGTTGTTGTTGAGACAGGGTCTCCCTGTAGCCCCACCTGGCGGGCCTTGAACTCACCTCTGCCTCCCAAATGCTGGGATTAATGGTGTACACTACCACACCCAGTTAGTAAAAGGAAGGTTTTTTTAGGATGCTGGAGGCTTGAGTGAGTTTGAATCCAAGGAGTTGGTGGGGAGAAAAATTTTTAAAAACTGAAAGATTTCAGAGAGGAAAACTTAATGGTATGAACATCTGCTAAAAGAGAAATTTGAATGAAAAGATTTGAGGTCCTGGATATAGACAGGCTATCTGGGAGCAAAATCAGCTGATGACCTAAATAACTAGACTTTTAGCACCCTGACCAGACGTTCGTACATGTCGTGCATGTAGCTTTTTGCTATAGCAACTCAGTCAAAGGAGGAACTGATGGTTTCTGTTCTTGGGGTTCTTTTGCAGGAACTTAATTTGTCATTTCAGTAACTGATAGATTAGTGTTGTCCGTGGGTACTAGAAGTTCTACAACTCCTCTGGGCCACGAGTATAATCCAGACACAAGAAAAATAAGCTGCAATAGCAGCGTTTGCACCTCAGTGAAAAACCCGGTCTGCAAAATTTGCATGGACTCTTACGTTGTTTTTCAGGTTTCTCTTCTTATTAATTATGTGCATTTTAGTTGACACATAGTAATTGCTCATGTTTATGGGGTACAATGTGGTGTTTCAATACACAGATGTACTATGTTTTCACATCAGGATAACTCATATCTGTGAACTCAGTTTTCCAAGTTAACTTTATTCTGATTTACATACTTTGGCAGGTGGCTCTGGAATATTGCCAGAAATACGGAAGTGACAAAGTACGAGTGATTACCCTGGTGAAGAACCGTGGGAAAGGTGGCGCTGTCAGGATGGTAATGTTTGCTTTCACGGTCTGTCTAAAATATAAAGGCATTTTAATAACCTTTTGCAGTTTTTAGAGCCACGTGTATCTTACAGCTAGCTAGTCAAGTATCAGCATTTCAGGTCAGCAACATTTTTTTTGTTTTTTTGCTTTTAATATTTTATTATTTTTATTTTATGTGTATGAAGTGTATTGCCTGCATCTATGTGCATATACCTGTGTCGTGCAATGCCGCAGAGGTCAGAAGAGGGTTTCAGATTTCCCTGGAACTGAAGTTAAGGACGGTTCATAGCTGCCATGTGGGTGCTGGGAATCAAACCTGGGTCCTCTGCAAGAGCAGTCAGTGCTCTTAACCGCTGAGCCATATCTCCAGCCCCTCTAGACATCGTAGTGTACCTGTAATATACTGGATGGTTCAGAAAAGCATATTACATTTGTGTTAAGTTTTATGTTGTCTTTGGTAGAGTTGTGGAATGACTTCTTAACAGCAGTACAGTGGGCTCCTGCGTACTGAACTTTACCTTTATGCAGGCACTGCTGAGCCTGGTACCATGAACTCAGGTGACCCCTGCATGGGCCTGCTGATGGGCTGTACAGTCTAACAGGAATGATAAGCAGAAGCAAAGGAAGATGCTGTACTGAGGGAGGGCACAGGAGTGCTGAGCAGGCCCAAGCCAAAGGTGCTGTCAGCTGAGGCATGTCAGGTAGTTACCAAATTATGCTGAAAAAGGGGTCTCACAAAACAATATGTGTGAAAGAAATCCAAGTGATAGTGCTTTAAATGACTTAGAGGTTTACTTTTCCCTATACAAGGAAGCGTAGGGGTAGGCAGTGTAGATACTTGTTCATCACAGTGTCATCAGAAGCCTCTCTTTTCCTCATGAACACAAAGTGACTCCTGGAGAATTAGCCATTACCTCCACATTCCAAACAGAAAGGGAAAGATGCTTCTCAGCTAATTTGCTCCCTTATAAGGTACTGTCCCCCCAAAAATACCACCCTTTAATTTTTACTTACATCTCATGGGCCAGAAAAAATGTCACAAAGCCATCCCAATTTTTTTTTCTTTTTCTTTTTTTTTTAATTTAATAACCACATGATTAGAAAAAGCATTTCATTACAGCTTTAACATATTCAATAACAATTTCCAGAGCAAAGATACATCTCTTTCAAAAGTGGAGGCAAATTTTTAGGTTCACAGTAGAATTAATACAGTTATACAATATTGAACTCAATATAAACCCTATAACACATAAAGTTGAATGAGTTTTTAACTTTTAAAAAAGATCTTCATTTCATTTTAAAATACACTGTTTCCTACAGAAAGACTCATTGTTAATGCTACTAACACTTAGATGTTTGCACATGCGACCCTAATCTTTATGTATCAGATTATTACTAGTCACAGTCGATTACACTTGGATCCTTGGCACCTGAGTATGGATATAAAGTCATCAGGTAGATTTCAATGATAATATTTATCACCTCTACTAATTAACATGAAGTAAATTTTTATGCTTCCTCCTCAAATATAACTCATTTTTTTATTTATTGAAATCTTTTTGTGTGTGTATATCATACAGAACATCCCTAACAATCTTATTCATCTATATACCCACTTCCCAAATGGTACCCTCCCATAGCCTCCACTCCCCCCAGTCATCCCTGTTACTGTCCACTGTGTTGTTGGTGCCCCCAGCCATTCCCCAGTGCTTGTCCATCTGCTGAATCTAGTCAGCCTATCTAGAGATCCTTGTTTTAGGAATATCAGCTGTTCCTCATCTAGCAGCAATCAGTTGTCAATACTCCTTTAGATAAGATTGGGGTCTGCTGTTCATTTTCCCAGTTCTATGCTGGGTTACTGTCTGGGAGTCTTTTGGGCCACCCTGGCCAATAACTCAAAGGAAGGTATTTCCTATCTACTATTGTTTGTTGTTATGTAGCCTTTAGCTATACATATGGACTCTAAAAAAATTATATTGACCCTTTTAATCTTTGGTTATACTTTTCTTTTGGGTGTTTAAGGCCATACAGTTGGCCCAGATGAGCCAAATTTATTTTTATTCTTAAGGCCATTTGAGGATCTGTCCCTCAGGGGTCACATGGGCTTGGGAGGAGCCCCTGGCTTCTTTCTTTCACCAGTTCCATCTACGTGAAGATAAGTGAAAGGTCCTGCTTGACCATGGCTGGCTTCACTTGGAAGTATGGAGGAAATGATTCCTCTGTGTTGACCCTCCTCTTTGTAGACTGGACACTGGTTCAAGTCCATCTGGTGGGGTCTCCATGGCCTCCTTGATCAAGAGGACAGGTGATTCACCACAGTTACAGGACATTTTGAGAAATGCTCCATTGTCCCCTGGAACTTAGTCAACCTTGGTGGGCAAGGAGCAAAAACTATCCTTTAAGTCCCTCTGACCAAATTAGTAGAGGCCTCAAAGTACGGCTGTTAAAACATCCAAGAAGGTTAGTTCCACCAGTCTGGTACTTTTAATTACCATGTGCTATGTAGATAAAGCTTGGGCAAAAACCAAAGGTTTTCAGATAAACCTTGACTAGACATATATTACATTCCTTGAGCTGTCAGTAAGTTGTTGGACTAATATGGTTCCCTCTGGTTTTTTTTAAAACTAGTCATTATTTATCTCTCACATTGTCTAACCCTTCCACCATGGTTTCCCCATTTAAAGTGCCCCCATTTTTCCCATGTCTCCCTTAATAATACCCTTCTCCTGTGGTCCCAGTTCTCTTGAGCTCCTTCTTTCCCTTTATCCCCAAGGTTCTTTGTATAACCCTCCCTCCTACCTCCCCTTAAAATAATCCCATTTTTATCAATATCTCCCTCATTAATACCTTTTTCCTACTGTTCTACTCTTTCAGGTTCCTTCTTTTCCTTTACCTCCCCAGTTCTTTTTCATTATCCTGGTTCCTGTAGTTATGTCTGGATACACACTCATTTATAAGGATTTGGTTCTAGGTCCACATATGAGGGCGAACACAGCATCGTTTGTTTGTCTGAGTCTATGTTACTTCACTTAATACAACAATTTCTAGTTCTATCTATTTACCTGCAAATTTCATGATTTCAGCTTTCTTTACTGCTGAATAGAACTACATTGTATAAATGAACCACATTATCATTATCTCCTCGTCAGTTGACGGACACTTAGGTTGCTTCCATCTCTTAGCTATTGTGAAAAGAGCAGCAACAAACATTGATGTACATGTCTCTGCAATAGGATGAGTTCTTTGGGTATATGGGCAAGGAGTGATATAACTGGGTCAAATGGTAGGTTCATTTTTAGTATTTTATGAGTTCTCCACACTGCTTTCCATAGGGGTTGAACAAGCTTGCAGTCCCACCAGCAGTGGATGAGCGTTCCCCTTTCCCCACATTCCTCTCCAACATTTAGTATCATTTGTTCTCTTGATCTTAGCCAGTCTGACTGGGGTAAGATGAAATCTTAAAGTGGTTTTAATTTGCATTTCCCTAATTACTAGTGATGTTGAGCACATTTTAAGGTGCTTAGCCATCTTTATTTCTTCTTTTGAGAACTCTCTGTTCAGCTCTTTAGCTCATCTTTTCATTGGGTTATTTCCTTTCTTGATTCTTTGTTTTTTGAGTTCGTTATATATTCTGGATGTTAAATCTCTGTCAGATGTGTTGCTCATGAAGATTTTCTCCCATTCTGTGGGTTTTCTCTTCACTTCCTTGGTTGCTTCTTTTGATGTAAGAAGCTTTTGAGTTTAATGAGATTCCATTTGTTGATTCTTGACCTTGATTGCTGAGCAATTGATGTGCAGTTTAGAAAATCCTTTCCTACACCTGTGCTTTGTAGTTTATTACTAATGTTTTCTTCTCACAATTTCAGAGTTTCAGGCTTCACATTAAGGTTTTTGATCCATTGGGAGTTGACTTTTGTGCAAGGTGAAAGAGGGGTTTAGTTTCATTCTTCTACAGGTGGAGATCCAGCTTTGCTAGCACCGTTTGATGAACATGCTGTCTTTCCTCCAGTGAATGTTCTTGGCCCCTTTGTCAAATGTCAGGTGGCTGCAATTGCACATTTGTACTCATATTTGGGTCTTCAATTTTGTTGCATTGATCTATGGGTCTATTTTTGTGCCAGTACCATGTTGTTTTATGACTATAACTCTGTAATACAGTTTAAAATCTGGTATAGTAATCCCCCCACATTGCTCTTAGTGCTCAGGGTTGCTTTCGCTATCCGAGGTCTTTTGTGCTTCCATATGAATCTTAGGATTTTTCTTCCAATTCTGTGAAAAATTTCATGGGGATTATGATTGGCATTGCATTGAATCTATAAATGGCTTTTGGTAGGATGGTCATTTTTACAATACTAATTCTTCCAATCCATGAGTATGGGAGATCCTTCCATCTTCTGATGTCTTCCTCAATCTCTTAAGATTTAAAATTTTCATTGTAGCAGTCTTTAATGTCTTTGGTGAGGTTTATTCTGAGATATTTTATTTTATTTGCAGCTACTGCTATGTACTCTTTCTCTAATTGCTTGTTATTGGTATATAGAAAGGCTGCAGACTTTGTAGATTAATTTTATAACCTGCCACTTTACTGAACGTGTTAATGATTTCTAGGAGTTTTCTGATGGAATTTTTGGCTTCTCTTATGTATAATATCATCTGCAAAAAGGGATAATTTGATCTCTTCC